ATTGCCTTTCTCACAGGGGTTGTGGCTTTCCTTCCAACTGCTAATGGCTGGAATAGGCTCACTTTTAATACACTTTAGGAGCCACTTTCCACACTCATGCCCTCACCCTGCCTCAATCCCTGGCTAAATCTCCAATTCATAATCCATTTGCTGACTGTGCCATTTAGGGAGTAAGAACATTGTGGCCACAGCCACCATTGTACCCTCAGATGAAGTCCTTTCTCAAGAGACAAACAATCTGTTAGTAAAATGACCATACATCCTGGGTTGCACCCGTCCCGTGGTCCCAGCGTAGTTGTTAACAGAGCTACCTTTTTATTTGCAAGTTCCCTGCTTTGGACAATAGATCAACTGGTTACCCAGCTATTAGCATCCATGCATAGGGCACGAATCTGTTGTATTCTTCAGCCAGTCTGAGACAAGCCAAGAGATTACTGCTGCACCTTTGTTTGTCTTTCTTTTTGGTGGCACATAAGGAAACAGAGAAACAGATGATCTCACCGAGTGCACAGATCATAGGAGAAAAGCCACAGACAGTTAGTGGTCCCCTGCGGGTCATCATTCATCCCAGTGCAGCACTAACACTCATGATGGTATCACACGCTGTCTGGAGCAGTGATTCATGTAGCTGGCGTTGCCTGATGGGAGGAAACTGGTGGGGGAAATGTGGTGGGGGGTCCTGTGAGGGGTCCAGTTACCTCCTCCTCCTCTCTTTCTAAGCACATCAGCTACAGATCCGCCTCACTTTGTGAGAGGTTGCCATTTCTCTCTTCTGCCTGTCAGATAGTCCTAATGCATGGTGTAGGGGTGGGGAGGACAAGGGAGAAAGAGGGATACAGAATCTTTTAGATCTTGCCCTCTTTCAAGTCAGCTCTCCACCTCTTTTTAAAAGAAACAAATCATTATTATTTTGTTGTTGTTGAGTTGCTTTTGTGTTTGTCTAATTTTAGAAAGAAGTAAAATGTTTTCCTCTCACACCTCTGGGAAGATAATATACCCAAATTTATTCATTTAGTTTGTTCATTTATTTATTGTTGACTTAAAACATTCACTCCTGGGCCATTTACTCGGTAGCTGAGTGGGTGCTGGAAATGCCAGCTTAGAGGCTAAAAAGGAAATTCAAGGAGGAATGGAATTAAAATGTAAAGTAATACCCTCTTATCTACAGTATCCCCCCCATCTAATTATCTGTCTACCTCTATTGAATTATCTATCTGTGTGAATTTTTTGATCCTCATAAGACCTCGCTGAACTTGATAATGGTTGAAGTTGTAAGTGAACAAATGATGCTCACTGAGTCTGAAATTATTGCGTAACATTCGTTGAACCTCTACCCTGTAACATTTTTTGAGCTAAACTGTACAGAGCTCAGTCGTGCCATTTCATCATCTGTGTGCTCATACATTCCTAACGGGCTGCCCTCCATTCACTTCTGCAGCCTAAATGCAGAGAAAAATCTTAAAAGCAAATGCATTTAATTTTAAAATGTTTTACTTGAGCTCAAACAATTAAGATCATTAGAAAATACTTTGAAAATTAATAAAAATTAAAACTATACACTCTATTAGAATTATTATTATTGAGTTAAAAATGATGTTGCCAATTCAAGTGGTAACAGTCAGTTATAACCCGAGTTTGCTGATTCACTTGAATTCTGGTTGTTTGCCAGAGTTTTTCAGAGCCATAAGATCCAGATAGAAAATCAAACCTCATTCTCAGCATTGGGGCTTTCTAAAGCCTTATCAAAAGTTTGGTGACTCGTAGGAGAGCTTATTTTTCTCCTTTTCATTGAGTCTTGCTCTCAAGGAGTTAGTTCAGATCATCAGTGGCCCTACTTTGCCCATAACAACCCTTATGTATAATTTCCACAAAACTGCTTCCCCAAGGCATTTTGGTGCATTGCCCATTTTACTGAAGATTTGGCAGGGAGAGAGGAATTGACATCACAGATAGAACCCAGCTGAAATTGGATATTAGATGGAGTTGCTCTTCAAAGACCTGGGCATTGCCACTATGGAGCCTGAATTTCCCACCTGTCTGTTGACACCCCTTTTTGTTGCCTTATTTCTTCTTGTCCTCCTTTCTCAGGGCTCTTCTGTTTTCTCTGATCCCTCCCTCTTAGGGCATAAAAATCAACCTTATCCCACTTTAATTAATTTATTCTTTAATTTTATTTTAACGCAGAGTGACTCATCTCTAATCAGCTTCGACAGCCAAATGATGTTTGGTGTCTCCATTTGCATGTTCAAGGAAGCTGTCTAATTAGAAATGATCCCTTGTAAGGTCTCTTCCGCCTAAATTCTTGGACAATGACTGTCCTTCTTCCTCATATGTCTAGAGGTGAAGATGGGAGTTGGGGAGGCGGCATGCATTCTGGGTACCAAAGGTAGAGGAAAGGCAAAACCATCTGCTTTGGGCCAGACAGGGTTGAATCCTGACTGGGTGACCTAGGACAAGTTAATTAAGTTTCCTGAACCTGTTTCCCCATCTCTAAGGTGGGGTATCATACTACTTTCTTGCAAGTTATGGAAAGGATAGAATGGAATCACACACAAGTTGTAGAAAGGATAAAACAGAATGACACTTCCAGTGCACCTGGCGAAGGGCAGGCACTTAACAACTATTAGTTCCCTTTTCCTTTCAGCTGATAAACGCTTTCCTTGAGGGTTACATAGGCAAACAGTAAATATTTATAAATTGCATAATTCAAGAAAAATGAAACTTGAAAAGGATTCTTCAGATTTTTTGATGAAACAAATCATCGTCCCTGTTGTCTTTCATGCAAATCTGTATTTTTGTTTGCAGTGCTGGGTTTGCTTATGATATTTATGTGCAATTCTCAGCACTGTGAGACTTGAGCGAGCCTAACCTCTCTTCACAGCTTGATAGGAGTTGTAAATATTAGGTACTGATGGTATGATTTGAGGCAACCTAAGTGACTGATGCCTAGAGCCCTCCCTGCGGTATTATTCCCATCAGAGCTGAGTAGATAATGAAGATACAAACACTGGTGAAGGCTCGGTGACTTGGTCTGATGGTACTCATATGGCACAGTGAAAATGGAGATGCTATCAGTGGAAAGGACCCACCATCTGTCTCCCCTCTAGAGCAGAGCAGAACATACCTCCGATGACTGTGACCATTGTCAATTAGGCTGATTTATGCAAAGACAGTCTATACACATCCCATGCAGCCAGATTTTAAATTCTAGGGTGCCAGGGTTTGCTAGAAACAGTGGCCGGCTGCGGCCTTGCATAATATTCCATGTTCTCTTAGAGGGAGAGAAGAATAGACTCGGCACTTGACAGAAGGTGCTTTTTTCCCCGTATCGTCCAGTCAACTGTCTATGAGTCTGCCAAATCTAGCTCGCAGCCTCTTTTTGTACAACCCCTGAGCTAAAAATGGTTTTTGCATATTTAAAAGATTATTTAAAAGAAAGAAAAATATACAACAGAGACCATGTGTGGCCCACTAGGGCTAAAATATTTACTATCTGACCCTTTATGGAAAAGGTTGTTGATCCCTTGTCCAGAGTGAAATAACTCAGACGAAAGAAGGCAAAATGTAATGATGATTGACTTTTCCAGTTGTAATCTGATTTGTGACAACCACTATATGCCTGTTTTAACAAAACTTAATGGGCATTACTTAGGATAAATGTAATTACATTTCAATATTTCTGTCTTGCTCTCCCTATATAGGGTTATTCCAGGTTTGCCCAAGGAACAGAATGTCTGTTTGTTGTTCTAGAAGTAGCTCCTGTGTCTGTCACCTCCTCTCCAAGGCTTCCACCTGTCGCTTTTATATCCCAGCTCACCCGTGTGAACAGCGTGTGTTTGGGCTGCCATGACAGCACGTCCTACCTTTTCTCCTGGCTTGAAAGAGGGTGGCAGGGGCCAGCTCAGGAAGAACTGCTGTGGAGTTTTTCACCTTCTCCTGCTTGTGATGAGGCTAGGGAGGGATTTTAAGCAGTATCTTTAATTGTTGCCGAAGTATGAACTCCGGGAAGGGGGCAACTGTGAAGCAGTGATGCATAGACTAAGTCTCCTGGAAGAAGCAGGGCTTGAATTGGACCCAGAAGGATGGGCACTGTTTGTGGGAGGGCACAGGTATGTAAGTGCAGGGAACATGTCATGGAGTGTCTGCCCAGAGTGGGGAATTTATAGCAGTGTGAGATGAAAATGGGTCATCATTGTGGCCAGTTTGTTGGAAATTTTAAGGTGTATGGAATCCCAAATTCAGTAATCATTGAGGAGTCATTGTAGCTTATTTTTAAAAAGAGAGATGTGTGTGTGTGGTGTGGGGGTGGGTGAGAGTGGAATGACAATCATGAAATTGGTTATTGTTTGTTAAACCCTAACTGGGAGCCAGACATTGGGCTAAGGATGTTACTTGGACCATCTCATTTAATCCTCACAACAACCCTGTGGGGAAGGTTTTATCTCTAGTTTGCAAATGAGGGAACTAGGCTTAGAGAGGTTCAAACAACTTGCCCAAGGTTCTGAAGTTAATAACGGCCACAGCCAGGATGGCTCTTAACTCCTACCCTGTGGAAACAAGCTCAACGTAAAACATTCTTACAAGACAGAAAAGCGTGAAAAAGCAACCAAAATCCTGCCTTACAGAAATGTCCACTTTGGGTGAACATTCTTCTAGACATTTCTGTGTGTGTATATGCACAGCAACTTGTATACATATTGCATAATCTGGGCCACCCCATGCCTGCAAGCTTTCTATAAAAGTCACCATATTCTATATCCTAGTGTTTCCCCCCGACTTAACACTAATTTTCTAATTTTCACAACTGGGTGCATAGCATTTTGCTTTGGGATGGTACCCTCATCCACTTAACCAGTTCTTTCTAGATCATTGCAGGTTCCTGAGCAGGGGAATAATGTATTGGAACCTTTCTTTCTTTCTTTTTCTTTTTTTTTTAAAAAAACAAAAACTAAAAGAACAACTTTTAAACTGAGTCTTATGCTTTTTCCCTTTCTTTGCAGCATGCCCTTGATGCTGACAATGCGGGAGTCAGTCCAATAGGAAACTCCTCCAACAACAGCAGCCACTGGGACCTCGGCAGTGCCTTTTTCTTTGCTGGAACTGTCATCACCACCATAGGTACCCATTCGTTTGCTAATATCTCTTTCTCTGCAGGTCATCTTGAGTAAGGGTGCTTAGTCAGTGTTTTGTCCTCATAGCATAAACTATAGTTTGAGGTTCAGAGGAGGCTTACGAAACACTGTCATTTAAATTAATGCAGTCATCGTGCTGGCTTTCAACAAAAGCCAAAGCAGAATGAAGTATCTCTTTTTCCAGAATGAAAGGCTAGCGAACCTAATGAAAAGGTTAGAATGGAAAATATGAGTTGGTTGGTTGAATTCAGATTACTCATTTGAGCTCAACTTCCATTTTAAAAATTGTACTTCTTATTAAAGCTGTATAGTAAGGGACCAAAATGTTCTACAAAATTTGTTATAAAAACCAGTAACATTCTGACCCTCTCACCTTTTCTTACCTTCCCAGAGACCGTCACTTTCATCTGTTTTGATTGTTGATTTGAACATTCATCCCCATGTCTTTAAATATCTTGCTTGTACTTCTTCTGGAATTTTCAGTTTTGGGGATTTTTTTTTTTGACTTTGTATTGTGGAAGATGAGGAGTTAGTTCCTTCTTCCTGCCTGCCCCACCACAGAAGGGCTGTTTTCCTGTCCTCCTGTCTTCCCAATATTTAATTAGATAGAAGTGAAACATCTGCATGATTTTGACTAGATAAATGCTTTCTGCAGCTGATCATAGAGTGAACTGCAATGACCTCTTTCCTGTATCAGTTTTTGTCTTATTTTTTGTGTATCTTTTTTTTCTGACACTTGGAGAGTTTCGTATTTTTGTCTTGGGGTTAACTGTATTTATTTATTTATTGAGACAGAATTTCACTCTTGTCACCCAGGCTGGAGTGCAGTGGTGCAATCTCAGCTCACTGCAACCTCCGCCTCCCGGATTCAAGCGATTCTCTTGCCTCAGCCTCCCATGTAACTAGGATTACAGGTGCCCACCACCATGCCCGGCTAATTTTGTATCTTTGAGTAGAGATGGGGTTTCACCACGTTGGTCAGGCTGGTCTCGAACTCCTGACCTCAGGTGATCTGCCTGCCTTGGCCTCCCAGGTGAGCCACCACACCTGGCCTAGGGGTTAACTTTATAAGTATAATGGCATATAATAATCTTAGTGTTCTATTTGTTAACCAGCATGTATTTGATCCCCATAATGGGTGATGATAACTCTTTTCTTTCTTTTTCCAACACAAAGTTTTGGTGGACATCATCTTTTAAATGATTAAACATGCTTATGTTTCTCTTATATGATTTGCCAGCTTTAAATGATAACTCTTGGCACTCAGCTATTACATATAAGGCAGTCAGTGAACTTAGCATCTCAACTTCCTTTCCCTCTTCCACTATCCACTCTTATTCATGGTGTCATTCTATATAAGTTGTATCTCACTTTATTGTGCCTTGCTTTATTGTGCTTTGAAGATGCTGAGTTTTTTTTTTTTCACTTTTTTTTTTTTTTTTTAACAAATTTAAGCCGTGTGGCAATCCCACATTGAACAAGTCTATTGGTGCCATTTTTCCAACATCGTGTGCTCCATTCTGTGTCTCTGTCACATTTTGGTAATTTTCACAATAGTTTCAACCTGTTTCATTTTTGATTATATCTGTTGAGGAGATCTGTGGTCAGTGATCTTTGATGTGACAATTGTCATTGTTTTGGGGTGCCACAAACCATGCCCTTTGAAGATGGTGAACTTAATCAATGAATGCTGTATGTTCTGACTGTTCCAGCAGCTGGCCATTCAGGCATCCCAGATCCCTGAGGCACAACGGTATTGAAATTTGGCCAATTAATAACCCTGCAGTGGCCTCTCCGTGTTCTAGTGAAAGGAAGAGTCAGTCGCATGTCTCTCATTTTAAACGTAAATCTAGAAATAATTAAGCTTGGTGAGGAAGGTATATTGAACTCTGAAACAGGCCAGCAGCTAGGTCTCTTCTGCCAAACAGTTAACAAAGTTGTGAGTGTAAAGGAAATTCTGTGTTTTTTTTGTTTTTTTGAGAGAAGATCTCTCTGTGTCACCCACCCAGGAGTGCAGTGGTATGATCATGGTTCACTGCAGCTTTGATTCCTGGGCTCAAGGGATCCTCCCACCTCAGCCCCCTAAGTAGCTCAAACTACTAGTGTGCATCACCATTCCTGGTTATTTTTTTAAACATTTTTTCTAGAGATGGGGTTTCACTACGTTGCCGAGGCTGGTCTTGAACTCCTGGGCTCAAGCGATCCACCCACCTTGGCCTCCCAAAGTGCTGGGATTACAGGCATGAGCTGCTGTTCCTGGCCAGTAAAAATTCCTGAAAGAAATTAAAAATGCTCCTCCAGTGAGTGAGCACACTAATGATAAGAAAGTGAACCAGCCTTATTGCTGATATGGAGAAAATTGTAGTGGTCTGGATGGAAGATCAAACCAGCCACAAAATTCCCTTAAGCCAAAATCTAAATCAGAGCAAGAGGGCTCTTTTCAATTCTATGAAGGCTAAGAGAGGTAAGGCGGCTTCAGAAGAAAGTTTGAAGCTAGCAGAGGTTGGCTTATGACATTTAAGGGAAGAAAGCCTTTTGATAACATAAAAGTGCAGGTTAAAGTGGCAAGTGCTAATGGAGAAGCTACAGCAAGTTATCCAGAAAGTCTAGCTAAGAAAGTGGATATACTAAACAACAGATTTTCATTATAGACAAAACAGCCTTATATTACAAGGTGCCATCTAGGACTTTGATAGCTGCAGAAGAGAAGTCAATGCGTGGCTTCAAAGCTTCAAATGATAGGCTGATTCTCTTGTTAGGGGCTAATGCAGCTGGTGACTTTATGTTGAAGCCAGTGCTCATTTACTATCCAGAAAATCCTAAGGCCCTTAAGGATTATGCTAAGTCTATTCTGCCTGCCTTCTATAAATGGAAGTTCAAAGCCTAGATGACAGCACATCTGTTTACAGCATGGTTTACTGAAGAGTTTAACCTCACTGTTGAGATCCACTGCTCAGAAGAAAGATTCCTTTCAAAATAGTACTGGTCACTGACAATGCACCTAGCCACCCAAGAGCTCTGATGGAAATGTGTAAGGAGATAAATGTTGTTTTCATGCTTGCTAACACCACATCCATTCTTTAGCCCATGGGTGGAGTAATTTTAACTTTGAACTCTTATTGTTTAAGAAATACATTTAATAAGGCTGTAGCTGCCATACGTAATGATTCCTCTGATGGCTCTGAGCAAAGTAAATTGAACATCTTCTGGAAAGGAGTCATCATTGTAGATGCCATTAAGAACATTTGTGATGAATTGGAAGAGGTCAAAATATCAACCTTAACAAGAGTTTGGAAGAAACTCCAAGCCTCATGGAGGACTTTGAGAGGTTCAAGACTTCACTAGAGGAAGCCACTGCTGATGTGTTGGAATTAGAAGCAGAGCCTGAAGATGTGACTGAAATGCTCTATCTCATGATAAAACTTGAATGAATTAGGAGCTTATTCTTATGGATGAACAAAGAAAGTGATTTCTTGAGATGGAATCTGCTCCTGCCTGGTAAAGATACTGTGAACATTGTTGAAATGACAACAGAGAATTTAGAATATTATATCAACTTAGTTGATAAAGCAGTGGCAAGGTTTGAGAGGATTGATTCCAATTTGAAAAAAATTCTACTGTGGGTAAAATGCTATCAAACAGCATTGCATGTTACAGAGAAATTGTGAACGGAAGAATCAATGAATGCAGCCAACTTCTTTGTTGTCTTATTTCAAGAAATTGTCACAGCCGCCCCAGACTTCAACAGTCACCATCCTGATCAGTCCGTAGTCATCAACATTAAAGGAAGACCCTCCGCCAGCAAAAACATTATGACTTGTTGAAAACTCAGATTATTATTAGAATTTTTGGCAATAAAGTTAAGACACATCTATTGCTTTTTTAGACCTAATGCTATTGAACACTTAATAGACTATAGTAGAATGTAAACATAACTTTTATATGCTTTGGGAAACAAAAAACATTGTATGATTCACTTTATCATGGTGGTCTGAAGCCTAACTCACAATGTCTCTGAGGTATGCCTGTATAACCTCAGGGTATGTAATTTACATTTTAATTTGTTATCCTGATATTTGCATTTGTTTTAGTCATAGCTCTATAGTTAGATATCACTAATGTTTATCTCTAGTCCTTTTGCTGTGGTTTATCTCATGATCACTTACTTGGCTGAAAGTGATCTTCAAGTAGTTGCCATAAGAATGGCTCAGGGGAGCAATATTCTGTGAGATCTTGCATTGTTCACAGTTGTAGCTTAACATTTGAAGGATAGTTGAAACAAAATGAAATCCATTTTGTTGACTCATATTTTCTTTTCCTTTTTTTTTTTTTTTTTGAGACTGGGTCTTGCTCTGTTGTCCAGGCTGGAGTGCACTGGTGCAAACATAGCTCACTGCAGTCTCCAACTCCTGGGCCAAGTGATCGTTCTGCTTCAGCCTCCTAAGTGGCATATACCACCAGGGCTAGCTAATTTTAAAAATATTTTATAGAAGCCAGGTCTTGCTGTGTTGCCCAGACTGGTCTCAGACTCCTGGCCTCAAAGGATCCTCCTGCCTTGGCCTCCCAGACTGCTAGGATTACATGTGTGAGCCACCACGCCTGACTTCACATTTTCTTTTTAACTGGTCTTACCGGTGTTGCTCTTCTGTTTCCCAGTTTTCATGCAGCTGTTGGGGGATACCTGATGCCAGCCTATTTTTTTCCACTTTTATAGGTGGCTTCATCCTTTTGTTCAGTGACTTCAAATATTATTTCTCTATCTTTCGTCTGATAACATTACTAGGTTTTGACTGTTTTATTGTGGTAAAGTTTTCTTGATTGACATCTTTAAACATTTTATTTGCTGTGTGGTTTTGGTTTTGTTTTTTGGACGATTACAGCTATATATATATTGTAACTTCTTTGCTCATCTTCTATGTCTCTCATTTCTCTTCTACTTTTTAACTCTTAAAATTTAGTTTTCATTTTCTTTATTTTGTTCTCCCT